CACCCACGCCCACACACAACTATATACACACGCACACCCACTACATTGAGAGCTATGTTGTGTTTTTTCCTTTTAAAAAGAAAAATTACAATGTTGTGTTTTAAATATTAAATGTTTTACTCCATGGGTCTTTTTGTCACAGTTTTGGCCCACACAGTTTTTATATTCATATATAACAACATAAGATTATATTCCAGACTGAAGGACAAGTGGACACAAGCACTCCACTGGAAACAATTTTACAACAGTCCAGAAAGGGTAAAGGCAGCAAAACCACAAAGTGCTTTCAAAATGTCAAAAACAATTTTTTAGTGCCCCCCCCCCCAAAAAAAACCTGCTCTTTGCTTTGCAAAGCTACAGAAACCTGCAGGTAGACGTGGGGCCTGTACTATGAATCAGGATTTAAGGTTAGCAAGGTAACTTCAAGATTAGATTGCTCCCAAGTCCCTGTCACAGCCGTTAAAATTTGTGGTTTAATTTTTTTTCCTTTATGGGAGGCTAGCCTAACTATTACGAGCATCTATATTTCAGTATTCAAGTCTAACTACAGTCTTTCAACCGCTATTTTAAGAGCAATCTTTGGAACATTTAGTTTAAAATAAATTAATATGCATGTTGAAGTGTGGAGTGAGTTGAACCACCACTTATTCAGTGCCCACAGCTTTTAATGTCCGGACGCAGACACACAGCCACTTCTGCTTAAAGAATAAGGACCAAATTGTCATACACGCCATGAGAACATCTAATACCACATTAAGTTAGTGGAACACAAATGTATTTCTAGTCAGATCTACTTGTGCCCTAATGATGGGGCAATTAACTGTTAACCTATGCATTCACAGTCGGTGATTTTTTTGCCAGCTGTCCTTGCATTTAGCAGCTGCAGCTGTGTTGCTGGATGATGTTTAACTTCTGAGTATTTGTCTAATATTATAGTTTGCTTGTTTGTAAAATATGCCACTCTGCTGCCAGTAGACTTCTCCATGTTTGCTTTTGGTCAGCTGCTGCAAACCATGCCATGTGTTCACAATCTCTACTTGAATACTGATAAGCACAATATCATCCATCTGTATGTAAAGTTTAAAGGACCCACTATCCTGTAATATACTGAACTTTAATGTGTTAAAAACAAACATGGTCTCATCCTCAGAGGTTTACAACCTGACTCCTGATATCTGAATTTCTCACATTTCAATTATCAAGTTAAAGAGGTTACAGAATGGAGACTGAATGAAGACACATTGTCTGCTTGATGCAAATGCCTTAGTCATAGGACTATAAGGAGAAGAAATATTACAAAATGTTCCCCAACCATACTATGTTTAAACATGAGGCCTTTTTATAACGTGTTATAGGTAAAACTGTTGTAACATCTAATCCCATTCTTCTAGCAATGTTTGAGGTAAACTAGACTGAGAGCCAGCGTCTTATCACCTAGGTACATAAATAAGCCCCTCTCACGCACATGGTAAAGATAAAGGTTACAGAAGGTTGAGTTACAGGCGGACAGAATTTAAATAGGCGAATAAACAGAAACCAATGTGTTTTACAATCCAACTATACTTTGTCAGGGACAGCGCCTACCCCAGAGATCAAATCAGCCTCAATCCCAACATTAAAATCAACCCATCGCACTTTATATGCTGCTACCTGAACTGTTTAGTGTATAACTGCAACAACTAAAAGTGTATAATCTTTGGACCAGAGATTGCTACCGCACTTACCATGAGAATTGTATGGAGCAACTCTGACATTTTACTGAGAATAGCTCCGAGGGAGAAACAAAACAGAACTGAATACAATTCATTGAAATTGAATCAAAGTAAAGTGTGTTTTTCAGGACTTCTACCCCCGACAATGACAAGGAGACACTGCAGAGAAAACAATACAAATTTGCTACATGGCCTTATAACCTTAGTGCTTGAGGAGACAAACAACTTTATCTATAGCCAAATCCAATTAAAGTGGAAACAGGACAGGGGCCCGAGACACATTTGTATCTAAAGATTCAATCTGCACTGCTTTTCTGAAGCAACAATGGATTATTACTTTATTTGACTGCAACAACTATTGTAACGATCAGCTTTCCACCTGCCAGACATTTTGACTGTCAGTGCAATTTTCCGCACCCCATTTGAAGGGAGCGCACAGATCCTGCCAGAAACAATTATTCTCTCTCTCCCTTTCACCAGCACAGCATGTGGCGAGGCCAGTCAGAAAAGAAAAAAGCTATGCATCCACATGGCCAGTGTTTGGTGAACAGGTCCCTAGACTAGGCTTGGCTGCTGCGTGCTCAGACACAAAGTCTTGCACCTGTCCCTTCTCATACACATAAGCAAATAACTCGAGCACAGGGAACGGACTAGACCCATGAATCTTGAGAAACACACAAACTACTTACTCCCATTTATTACAGCAGTTCCCCAAGGGTCCCCCTCTGCCTATTTGTCTCCATGGTGTCAGGACCACGGTCTTTCCTACATTCACAGTCTCAACCTGCTGGGCACCATATGTCCAAAGGAGAAGCACTGGCAATAAAGCTAAACAGCCAGCACTGGGAAAGGCCATGGCTAAGGCACTGCTGACTGCTAATGACCACAGTAATTCATAATTATTTGCAGAATGTCAATATATTGTCAGTACCCAAGCACTCCATAAAAAGTAAAGACTAGACTGGTGTTTATTTTGACCGTTTCCACTTTCGAGTAGCTGCAATATGCACTAAAAGACCATTCAATTTCTGTAATGGCACCATTACACAGTTTCCATTAGTATATGAAATTGAGTTTGCAAACAGATTCCCAAAATGACTAGGTATGGGCTTATAGCAAAGGAAAAGACAACTCTTTAGTCCAGGTGAATTGTATGTACATGTAGACATTTGCGTATGAGTGATGCTGGAGACAATACTGGAATATTAATGAAACAGTCACTGCTAACAATCTACTGCACATTGTTGGAATGTAGTATGAGCTTTTAACCTTCAACACACCTGTTATGCGATGTACTGAAAGCCAACATGAAGTGCAGTTGATCAAAATGGGTTTTCTTTAAAAGATGGAAGCATCCACAAAGGTTTAGGATCAACACATCTAAAAAGTGATACAATGCCAAACAGGACTCGATTTACACTGTGCCCGAGGTGCTCAAGCTTATGGGCAATTGCATTTCGAATAAAATTTATGTCACTTTTTAAAGGCACACCTGTAAACGTGAATTTTCTCATTTCGACACAGAAAATGTCAAATCCATAAAACACCTCAATAAAACAGATGTGCAACCAACATAGAAATCAATGGCTCAACAGTGTGGCATCTGTTGATACTGCACCAGCAACGCATGTTGTTTACAAAATGTAGTATGTGAAGTATAACTTAGGGCAACAAGTATTCTCTCAAAACCCAGCATGGTCACAGATGCCCAATGGAATCTCTGGTCATGCCTTGTAATTAGTACAAATTCTGCCTTGTATACTGTATGAATACAAAGTAGATGTTTTATGCCCCAATTTTATGCATTTACTACTGTAAAATATTTAATATGATAGAAAGCTAGAATAGTTCAATTATCTCTTTAATTTCAGTCATTTGGTTATCTGACAACCATAAATTAATAAGAAAAAACATCTAAAACAGTAAAAGTGCTCATTACGCATTATTATCAACTCATTACAAAATATATATTACTGGATTATAAATAGTGATGCATTTATGGGTACATCACTTTAATACTGAAGCTGGTAAGTGTGGAGCTAATTCTAAATACTTTGATCTGCTACTTTTATCTTTATATCATAATTTGGAGGAAAAAAAGAATATTATTTTCTTCTAAATATAGTTGAGTAAAAATATAAAGTAGCGTAAAATGAAAATTGTACTTGAATAAATGTACATACTTGACACTGCATCAATTTTCATTTTCAGTATGCTGTAGATGGTGATGGGATAGAAATAAACCCATGACCTCAGCAAAGTGCCATCTCACAGATAATAATCACATTTTAATTTTCTCCATGTTGTGTGACAATTCCACTTAGCCATGCTCATCTACTGCTAATTAAAAAAAACAAATTAAAAAAAAAAAAAAACAGCAGGGGGCAAACTATTCCTGAGTGACGGATGTAATCCGGTCCAGTTAGTCAGCCGATCTCATTCTGACAAGTGCAAAATCAATTATAAATGCATTACAATTAAGTGTTTTACTTAACTAGAACTGTAACCAGCTTAATCAAAACTACAGAATGAACAGGGTATGAGAACAAAAATTACTTCTCGAGTTGAGGCTTTAACAGGTTAGAGCTTTCCCGTTTCAAATAAAAGCTTATGGGATGCCAGATGTAAATGAGTGCAGAAAATAACTTTCTAGCCCCGACTCCCAGGGGAAACCGCTAGATTCTTTTCTGTGGTGATGGCTGAACAGCCACCAAGTCCTACCAGGCCCTTTCTGCTTTTGCTGTATGATTGACGGGAGCTTGAGGCAGGAATGGAGTGAGGCATCACTGGCATCCCTTGAGACCACCTACAACAATAACAGAGTGGTGACATTATAAAAGATGTATACATGTACTGTAACATATAGGATGACATTGAAGAAGCATATTAATAGTTAAAATAACAAAACAGCACAGTGAGATGTGGGGAAGCAATCACAGGCAAACTCAAATCAATATCTCCAAGCATGGCTGGCAAAATAAAATAAATAAGTTAAACTTACCTTTCCTTACAATTTAAAGACAGGTTTAATCCATCTAAGCACACTACAGGCAACAGATGCAGCGCTCAGCAGAAATGAGATGTTATCACAAAAAAAATTGGGAGGTGCTGCCTCACTGATGTTCTGCTTTAATACAACATGAAAGTCAAGTTTGCAGGGGAATCTGTTGCACATCTGAGCAAAACCCGAGGAGATAGAGGGCAATGTGTGCCAGTCCTTGAATAAATCCCCTGCACATAGTGCAACTCTTACAAAAAATAAAAAATAAAAAAAAATAAAAGAGTGTCTACATGTTTTTCTTTGTTTTTATTAAGCACAGGATAAGGTACTGTAACAGATTCACACATACGCTACTGTTATGTACTTCTAATACAAAGTGGTATACAAAATAATACAAAGTACCCATTGTATAGTTGACAATAGCTTGATTACAAACATCTTTATTCTCAGAGTTAATTGTCACAAAAATTTTTTTTACTACAGAACACAAAACAGGTGCAGGCATTGAAAACATTGACAACACCTTGCATCTACTTAAATAGAATGCAGTACATTTCCCATTAGGTCTGCACTGTGCATGTGTATATGTGCTTATGTTTGCAAGTATGTGAGAGACGGGAACAAAAATATAAAATAAAATAAAAAAAAAAAAAGAGTGGGAGAGTAAATGGTCTTATCAGGGATGTGCAGGTCCAGTCCAGCCATTTTGAGTGTGTGTCAGAACGTGAAAAGAGTGCAAGCTACTGTGCTGGTCTTCTGCTTAAAGCAGCCACCACCCCCACATGAACACAGTATATGCATGAATAACTGTCTGACTTAAGAAAGACAGTGATGATTTCTTTTGTGGCTTACTGACCCCACTCTCTGCTCTGCTTCCCCAAAAGGAAAGTCAAAATAATCCATGTTTGTTATGCTCACCGACAAAAACTCTTTTCAGTCCACCAATCATTATTTGACAAAGGAAAGGTGAATACTCACAAGTATGTTGAGAAACAAAAAACTAATTGCTTTGTAAGGCAAATCTTATACATTTAGAGCTGTTTGTTGGTTGTACAGAAACAAAGGAAGACTGGCTAAAGCAAGAAAACCAGAATACTTGGCACAGAACATAAGTTCCTACTGAGCAGCCAGTTTCCTTATGTTCATGATCAACCTCTTGCTGTAGTCCTTGTGGTCAACAGGCTTCACTTCCATCACTGTAGCCTTAATCCGGGATTCATCCTGTCAGACAAACAATAAGAAACATTTATGACACATATTCCAGGCCTGCAAACTCTGCAGTCAGCCCAACAAAGTTGAAGTAGTTTCAGACAAACTCTACAATACATTACAATTTTTTCACTGTACACATAAGGGCATAGATTCTCAGCATGTGATGTTAATATAGATGACTTTTCCATCAAAATGAAAGTCTGCTTGGAATTCAACGTTTGGTTCAGCTGAATTCTCTGGCTTCTCCCTTACTGTGATAAAATAGAGCTAGCAAACAACATATGTAATAGACCCTGGAGTATACCAGCCCTATATCACTGTCCGTGCCATACTGAGTGGTGGTCAGTCGCTCCCATGCCAACTGACCCACTTTGTCACACACTATGTAGCCACGAGGTCATCTCTCCCATAGTCTTAGGTCCCTCACTCATGTGTTGCATTTTTTTTAAATGATGGGAGAGAGGGTTCAAGCAGAATTTAAGAGTGGAATTACCCTTTAAGCTCACTTTCGACAAGGTTATGTTACTGAAGCTCAGTTAAACAGCAACATTTCACGTTGCAGCAACAAAACAAAAGTTTCATTACAAATATGAGGTCAAGGTCCTGCCTTAAGTGCAATGTGTCTGCCTGGCTTGAAAACACATACTCCGCATCACTCTGTACAACTCTAAAGACAATCGTATGTGAAATAATATTACTTGTCTACCAGAAACAAATATGTAGGCATCGTCCCTTTCCCGGTGACAAAGTAGGTTAAATTTGAGATGTTTGGACTGGGTATCAGCATTGCTTTGGCATACAAATGAATACTTCAAAAAAAATAAATAAATAAATAAAAGACCACCTTTAAAGCCATAACCACCTCCACAGCTGTCTAGACAGGGGAAGGTCATTTCTACCAGGGCCATTATTCTCTGCATTTAAACAGAGGTTACACTCATTTTGTCTCCATTAATCCTGTGCAGTTGAAGTGGGTGAAATGCAAGTCATCTTTCTTTGGATTGGTGCCCACATTTTTTTAATAATACTCCGTTACAATTCACAGATTTGTAAGATGCAAGACAAATATGGACATATGTAAAAATATATAAGACAAAACTCTACGATGGTGGAAACGCAGCTTCCTAGAACTCAATTACCCATTGGCAAGATCATTAAGACAGTGATAAACCCAGATGGATATATCGAGGCAGTAGTCTGTGTCATGGGTAAAGTTTACACAAGACCAGTCGCCCACCTGATCCAGCTCCCTGCACTCGGAGATGACACCCAGGGAAGGTGAGGGAGGAATTCCACTGATTGCTACCAATGTGGGGGCAGCTGTTGTGAATTCCTCACGTAAAGAAACAGGGCAATTCATGTTATGTATATAGTAACGACGTATGGTAGTTGCATAAGTTATGCAGAAACAGTGGAGCATCAGAGTTTTGTTCCATTACGGCAGTTGCCAGAAAACAGTCAGACGATGTAAGTCAGACTCTATATTTACACAGCAGTTATGGTGGATTAACCTCTGCTTAAGTCGTCTGTAGTTGGTAGAGGTGTGCTGAATGTTGTGTATTTACCGGTTTCTGCTCCATGTGTTTGTATGGCTAGCTAGCTAAAGTTCTCATGTTTTTATGCTCTAAGATGATGCAAGCCACAGTTTGTCATCACTGAATTTGGAAGATCTTCATTTAATTTGATTTAATGATAATTGTACATTTATTAACAGTTTACTCCTCCAAAGCTGTAATAAGGATTTAAGTGGTGTGATGGTTATCGAGCATTTCTCTGTGTTTTATTGCAGAAACTGTTGCCATTACTACTCGGCCTGTAACATGTTAACTCCGTGCAACAATCAAAGAAGTTTGAACCACCTCTAGTGACTCTGTGCTCTCTAGCAGAAGCCCTGTAGCAGCTAATGTTAAGGATGTACAATAATTACTGATCTGATATAATATCTGCAGATAGATAGATCAGTCTATATGCATTGTCCCCCTCTCAATCTGCTATGATTCACTACAGGTAACAATGTTCTAAATGTTAAGCTACATGGCAAACTAAGCTGAACAGTTAGACTACAAATAGCTTTCAATTTAAGTTAGCTGGTTTGCACAAGTGGTTAATTGCCAAGCTAACGTTAGCTGTGCTTCCTGTAAACACATACTGAGGAGTTTTCTGGAGCAGTGTGAACAGCTGACTAGATATTAGCTCAGCTACAGCCACAGCAGCAGACCTCATTCCGTCCCCCAGCCTTTTTTGTTATGCTTTAAAGCACATCCTAAGGACTGAGGTTTTAGGTCTGGATTACACTTTTATTTTGTGCAATAGAGAGCTCCCTGTTACAGTGCTGTTTGCAGCTTAGAAAATACACTGCTCAAAAAAATAAAGGGAACACTTAAACAACACAATGTAACTCCAAGTCAATCACACTCCTGTGAAAGCAAACTGTCCACTTAGGAAGCACTGATTGACAATCAATTTCACATGCTGTTGTGCAAATGGAATAGACAACAGGTGGAAATTATAGGCAATTAGCAAGACACCCCCAATAAAGGACTGGTTCTGCAGGTGGTGACCACAGACCACTTCTCAGTTCCTATGCTTCCTGGCCGATGTTTTGGTCACTTTTGAACTTGACTTTTGTGGTAGCATGAGACGGAGTCTACAACCCACACAAGTGGCTCAGGTAGTGCGGCTCATCCAGGATGGCACCATCAATGCGAGCTGTGGCAAGAAGGTTTTCTGTGTCTGTCAGTGTAGTGTCCAGAGCATGGACCAGGAGACAGGCCAGTACATCAGGAGACGTGGAGGAGGCCGTAGGAGGGCAACAACCCAGCAGCAGGACCGCTACCTCTGCCTTTGTGCAAGGAGGAGCAGGAGGAGCACTGCCAGAGCCCTGCAAAATGACCTCCAGCAGGCCACAAATGTGCATGTGTCAAGGTCAGAAACAGACTCCATGAGGGTGGTATGAGGGCCCAACGTCCACAGGTGGGGGCTGTGCTTACAGTCCAACACCGTGCAGGACGTTTGGCATTTGCCAGAGAACACCAAGACTGGCAAATTCGCCACTGGCGCCCTGTGCTCTTCACAGATGAAAGCAGGTTCACACTGAGCACATGTGACAGATGTGACAGTCTGGAGACGCCGTGGAGAACGTTCTGCTGCCTGCAACATCCTCCAGCATGACCGGATTGGCGGTGGGTTAGTAATGGTGTGGCATTTCTTTGGGGGGGCCGCAAAGCCCTCCATGTGCTTGCCAGAGGTAGCCTGACTGCCATTAGGTACCGAGATGAGATCCTCAGACCCCTTGTGAGACCATATGCTGGTGCGGTTGGCCCTGGGTTCCTCCTAATGCAAGACAATGCTAGACCTCATGTGGCTGGAGTGTGTCAGTAGTTCCTGAAAGAGGAAGGCATTGATGCTATGGACCGGCCCGCCCGTTCCCCAGACCTGAATCCAATTGAGCACATCTGGGACATCATGTCTCGCTCCATCCACCAACGCCATGTTGCACTACAGACTGCCCAGGAGTTGGCGGATGCTTTACAAGCTTTCTGTTTACAAGAAAACTCCACCGGGCACCTTGAAGTGTAATCAAATGACTGGGTTTCAAAAAGGTTGCTGGGGATTTCAGGAAGAGAGATGCTAAGCTCTGTGACTCGAATGTAATCATCAATGCAGAAGTTTCATGTAACAACTTTAAGGTAGTCTGTCCAACAAAGCATTTTTTCCATGAGGCCACCATATTTTTTTCAATTGTTTGCAATGGGAGTGCCACATATTCACACTATGCAGCATGCAGAGGCACTGAGCATCAGTGCTGAGTGTGGCACGTTTTTTTCTATTCACAGAGTTGAACTTTTTTCAACTTTGGGTAAAACGCTGTGCTTGTCATTGTCACTTTTTACCAAGCTGTCCAATCACAGTGGAGAAGGGGTGGGACAAATACAGCAAAGACCAAGGACCTTTCTGAAACTAGACCCCCGCCACTTCCACTCCGTCACAGAGTGAACTCTGGTCAGAGTCACCTTCACAGCCAAATTGAACTCCCTAACCAGCGTAGGGTATACAGCGGCCAACTTGGGGAATTACCCCCCCCCCAGCTTAAATAGGATCCGACTTTACCGCTGCACTCACTGCTATAATATATCAAAAAAACAGTTGTGTTGTATTATCAGACAAGAACATTTTTTTATTAAACACAATATAACCTTTGAGCTGTGTTGTTAACCTGTGAATGGTGATATGATATTAGTTAGTGAATCCTACATGTTAACTGTCAAAGTCACACGGAACTCACATTTGAAAGAAAGTTCTCCCATTGTGCAGCAGAGGGTGTTACACACCTTCAACAAGCCGGCATCGGTGCTCACTCAGCATTGGAGGGTTCAACAACCCCACTACCACTCCACCCTCATTGGTTGAGAGGAAGTAGGTAGGGAGAGGGAGTAGAAAGCAGTTTTGGAAAGGCCCCAACTTTAAGTCACATCCTCCATGTACAACAACAAAGGAGGAATTAATACTGCTGGTCTGATCATTCATGTCTCTACAAGATGAGATGATTTGTTCATAACACAAGCTGTCTGCAAAATTAGGTACTTGCAACACATAAATTAATGCAGATATTCCGTATCATAGAAACCAAAGTGTCTCAGCTGAAAAAAAGGGCTGCACCTCCAAAGTTCTCTCGAGCACTCCTAGATGGGTTTTTTCAGAAGAGCGCCTGTCATTTTCAGCTGGTAACGACGGCCTTGGTGGCGAGCTACTCTTCCATACTGTGGTTAAATCGCATTGTGCCATTAGATATTTGATTGGAATGTGATGTTATTCAAAACAAGCATATCTGCACTTTGATTTTGTTTTGTTTAAACAAGTTCAATAATCAGTTCTACAAGTGTGCACAGCGCTAAAAACACATGCTTACTGCCCCTTCTGACCAATGTGGTAGAAGCCTTTAAATTAAAAACATGCACTATAGAAATAAAACATCTCTCTACCATGAATGTCACTGCAATCTTACAGCATTAAAATTCGTGACACAATTTTCTGAGCAGATTTCTGTAAACTAATTTGGTTTTAGCAAAAGCAGGATTTTCTTCCTGCTACATCAAATGCAGGGATATTAGTCATGACAGCAATTAATGAACAGAGCATTATAAGTGTTGTGGTATTCTACTTCCACCATATACACAGACAGTAATGACTGTAGTTACAGTTGATGAGTGGGTGTGAGACGTGTGAGCAATTCTGTAAGAAGTCAACATCACACAGCCAAGTTGGGTGTAGATCCACACTTTGACAACCTGTGGTGGGCCCCCCTGCATTCAGTACTGCAAGTGTGCATACACGTGAGCATAAGGACACCACAGATGAATTTGTTCCACTTTTTTTTTAACAGCTTTAAACTTGCCAGGAACACTTACAGCAAAGCACCAGCAACTAACCATTTCATAGTTACAATACAACTCCAATACAGCCTTATAAAGAAAGCAGGGTTGCGGAAGAGTCTACTGAAAACTGGCACCGACACCAATACACCTGCATCCGATGAGTAACTTAAACACTAGTCAAATTGTCACTTTTAATCCCCAACCTAGGTCTAAGATGTAATATTAGCTATATAATATATTAATATATTAGAAAATATTAGCTGACCAGCTGTTTGCTTTTAAATCCACCACTCTGTTCTGAAACTAGGCCTGCAGTGGTTAAGACTGGACCAGTGCTCATATGAAAAGCTTGAATATTCATTATCAACCTTTTCCATCTTTTGATATGCTGTGTTACAATGCCTAGACACAGTTGACAAGGGTCCTGACCAGCACAGCAGTTTGAATATTATAGCTCTAAGCAGACATTCCTGATGTCACGCAAATTCAAGTGCTGAATGGTAATATTTAAAAGATTGTTTTTTACCAGTAACAAAACATCTGTAGTAATTAAGTCGGTCATCCACTGACATTTTGAGTGTTACAACACAATTACCCACTCAAAATAGCAATATTTTGAATGCCAAAATGCAACTTTGATGTTGATTTGTGTGAAAATAATTATATTATGCATTACGCCCACATAACAGTTTTGATAAACACTGTAATTAATCAGTGTTTTTATTTAATAGCACCAAATAAATGATACTAAGTGGTATAGCTTTTGGTTCTCAGTGGTACCTCACATTTTTAGTTGACTCTTCTTTAGAATTTAGATGCCAGAATGAGAAATTATGGCTGGACAAAACTAAATGTAATTTTGACTTTTGATTCTTTTAACAGTGATATCGTTTTCTGCTTATTGAGAACATTATTCCAGTTTGAGTTTTGGTTTAGTGTGAGGTCAATCAGCAAATGCATCACAATACTTTGATTTTAATACTAACGTCCAATAAATCTTGATCATTCCTAATACCAACTGTAGAGTCATTGTCTTTTACGTAATACAGCGATAAGTTGTTAATTGCACACCAGCTGACAATTATTTTCATTACTATTTTAGGTATAAAGTTCCTGCCAAGGTGATCGATAGGGTTGGGTATTGAGTACGGGTTCCAAGTTGGACCCTAGGGTTCGGCTGACCAACGATGCCATCGTCCATCGGTGATGGACGACAGACATCACAATGTTGAGCAAGCATCGCAATTTAAATCTCCCAAGATTTGAGGTGATGGGGTTGGAATCAGAACAGAGATTCAGTAAGAACCAGATACAATAAGTAGAATCTGAATCGATAAAATTTAAACGATACCCAACCCTAGTGATAGGGACCTTTTAACATGCTGTGTTTTAGTGTTTAAAGCAGGGACGATTTCATCACTCATGTGACTGTGGCAGGTTCTTGACTTGACTTAAAAATAAAGAACATCATTTTCTCAACAGTTCTAAAAACCTTGTTAAAGAGTTAAAGTTCCAGTATCACAATGATACAACATTGGTGTCATTGACTGTTAATAGAGCCCTGGACCAGCCCGACAAAGTAAATTTTTCAGCCCGAGCTGACGTGCTCTCTCTAACTCAACTTTATTTATAGAGCACTTTCAACACCACAAGTGGAACCAGAGTGCTGTACAGAAGGTATAAAAGAGAACATACAAGTTACAGAGCATTATCAAATGCTAAAGAAAACAAATAAGTTTTAAGCGTACTCTGAAGGACAAGTTTTTACAGACAGAGGAAGGTCATTCCAGAGCCTAGGAGCAGCAACAGAGAAAGCCCGATCACCTTTACATTTTAAACGGGATCGCGGAACCATGACAAGCAATTGATCATTTGAGCGCAGAGATCTACTGGATTGACAGCGGCTGATTAAATCAGTAACATACTCCGGTGCTAGGCAGAGACTTAAAAGCATTCAACAACGCTTTGTATTGAATTCTGTATCGTATGGGTAACCAATGTAATTTAATTAACACCGGAGTAATGTGCTCTCTTCTTAGTACCCGTTAAAAGTCTGGCAGATGAGTTCTGAACGAGCTGCAAACGGAAGAGACTCACACCCAGATACAGCACATTACACATGCAAAAACACACACACACTTATTATAGGCCTCAAACATAACTACCAGTGCCACCGACAATCATGCCCACAAATATTAAAACCGAATGTCCATTACATGCATGCAATAGAGAATAATGTTCTGTGTGTATACGGGCATAACAAAAGGAGAAAGTTAAATGAGCCCGCCCAAACCCCGGTTTGTAAATGCTCCGTACTTGTATAGCGCCTTTCTAGTCTTTGACTACTCAAAGCGCTTTTACACTACATCTGCATTCACCAGTCACACACATTCATACACTGAGCCTAGGTGCTCAAACGGAAACTAACATTCACACTCACTCATACACTGGCGGAATAGCCGCCAGGGGCAATTCGGGGTTCAGTATCTTGCCCAAGGACACTTCGACACGCAACCAGGGATTGAACTGCCGACCTTCCGATTAACGGCCAACCCGCTCTACCTCCTGAGCCACAGCCGCCCCTATTGTATAGTATAGTATTATAAAATACAAAAAATAAAATTTAACATAAAAGGACGAGCCAGCCTAAATCAACTCAGTGTGCTGGGGGCTTGCAGACCTATATCTGTTCTACTTGACTTAAAGCCCCACTCCAGAGTATTTTGACATTTCTATGATATGTCCTTTCCTTACAATGTCCTTACAATGTTGATTACCCACATAGTTCAGCAAATATTTTTTGACAAATAGCTTAATTTTGTGCTCAAAGTCACTTAGTTGTTAAAACGGGGTGGTGACGTATCACTATAGTAATTCCATAAATCATACGTCATTCTCCAAGCTTGCGCAGGCGCACTGTCACGCCGTCATGCCTCCTTAAGTCAGAGCATCAAAACAAGCTAGCTAACCAATTTATCATTTAATAAATTTTAGAACTTAGAGTAGGTATGTCTCTCTGTGTCTGATTGTTGGTTTGTCTTTCTAGTTTAGTTAGCTAAGTTAACTAAGTTTTAGTTAGCCAGGTGTAGTTAGCTAGCATAGTTATTGCAAAAAGTTAGCTAACGGAGGGTCTTCATTTTATTTTTTAGTTTCCTCCTCTTGGTTTAGTGTGCTGTTCATTTTCATTATGGCATTTGTGCATGCGGTGTTGGAAGACAAAACGCGTTGCACTTTCACCTGCCACCGTCTTATATACAGTCTGCAACATGCATTTTACTGATGGACATTTTACCAATGCATTGGCGGAGGCAATGGTATCAGAAGTCTTTACATACAGTTCAACAGAGTAATAGAGTGTTTTACAGTGTAGTGATGTTAACACAGCATATTGTTAGCGAACACTCCAGCTGGTCAGTTTTTGGTTATCATGGTAATTGATTACGTACGACTATTAACCACACCCCCATTCTCTGTTTGAGAAAGAACGTTAACCAAAAACAGCAGTTAAAACTGTCTGGAGGGGGGCTTTAAGGACCTGCTTGGCCCACATCAAGCATATACAACATTGTTCACATGACAACATGTGAGAGCACGGCACAATGGCTGGCTTGTATCATTGAGAAGGAAAAAATAAACAGAGAGTGTTTGCAGGTGTCTCTGTTGAAGGAATATGGGGTTTATAGGCAGTAGCCAATACATGCTTCTAGCAGTGCCATGGGCAGTTAGGATGCTGAGCTGAATGTGATAGACACAGTGGCCTCTTCTGTGTGTTGAAGGCGGATGCAGCCTCTGGCTCAGCTCCAGACTTCCTGCTCAGAGTCCCAGCCCAATCAATTCTTTTATGTGCTTCCCTCAAAACAAACCTCTATCTGTGTGGCCTACAGGAAATAGTGGCTTCAACTAATCTGTGTGTGCACACTTCACAAAGCCACTGAAAATGAGCAGCATACACTCAAGAGTTTTTTAGAGTTAGTTCTGTCAGTTAAATGAAAGCAGAGTAGTTTTGTTAATGAATGGGAAAACTATCAAAAAGGAAAAACAAACAGCTAAACCATAAAGAACCTGTTTACGTACCATGCATTTTCATTTTACAAAGGAATGATGGTAGTTCAGGAGATTAAGGCTGCATAATTTAAATAAACGCAGGCATATATTCTATTTTATTACAACAATATATCCATCTACATAGCATGCTGTGAAGGCAACAAATCCGTAGGCATTTGATCACACTAATTACCATTCATGCTTTACTTACGTTATATGTTTCTAGCTTCACTCTGCTGCGAAAGACGAAAGTGTTGAAGTTGGCTTGTTGGAAGACCTCGTCGAAGGCAGCCTCGTTCTGAAATTCAGAAACATTTCATCAGCTCAATTTTGGTACACATATTCTTTCAATCAACTGTTAGTTTCAAGTGCAAAATAAAGTAAGTGTCTGATAACTGAGTACTGAAAAACAATGCCTGTGATCCTCTAAGTAATTATGCCTGGATGAAAACAAGCACAGTATGTGTCTATAAACACATTTTTCTACGCGGGAGAGTGTGTGTATGTGTGTGTGCATGTTTGGCAGTAACAAGGCCTGAGGTTTAGCTTTTTCCCTGGCCATTTCCTGAGGCCAGTATTATATTCAGGAGGGGGAATCTCACCGAGTCCTTTAGCTGTCCCAGGTAAGCTGCATTCTGACCCAGGATGGCCTCTGCACTCTCCTGGAAACAAGTCACCCACTGGTTGTCCCCATAGTCTGCAATGTTGGCCTGTCAGATTACAAACAAAAGAAAACAAAAGGAAAGGGTAAAAAAGGAAGAACTGTTTTGATGCATACACATATAGATCAGTGTACTCTTTTTAAGAGTTGCTCGATGCTTTATGGTATGTCTCTAAAGAAATCATTACATACTCTAAGTACCCTATATCCTGCTGGCTAGCCTGGCAAAACATGCAGAGTCACAGTGCTCTTGTGATACATACAGAGGAAGCAAATTCACAGCTTATGCTACAGCTTGTGAAGAATAACAATATGTTGACTGGTGAGTGGTACAAAACAAAAGCCGCTTATCTCAGATGTCTGGCTGCAATTTCTCTGTTGCTGACTGAGTGAGTTTTTGTACATAATGTTGTAGTTTAAAAAAAAACATGTTTGTTTTCAAACGAGATGAGAGAAAGGGCCTCTCAGTTCCTCTCTGCACTTTCTGTAAAATGACTAACAGCACAGTATGGAAAGCTGTAGCAATTAATCCCACATAACTCTGAATTAAATACAAGTGTAAAAATGTGCTTTAAATGTCAACTGGGGCAATGAACCACAGGGAGTAGTTCATAAGGGGAGAGTGGCTTGAGTCCTGGGAGACAGAAAGATGAATAAGTACAATCAGTCAGCATAACAGAAAGACATGGAAATAAGAAGACTAGAAGGATGATACCCATAGCCTCAGCAGAAGCATCTGCTCAGGACTAAGCAGGAAAGGCAGGAATTTAAGATATGTGCATTAGCATTTATGCTTGTGTGTGGGTGCATGGCTGGCACAGCTCAAAAAGAGTTAAGTTTTAGGGAACCCAGTGCTGAGTCACTTACAGAAAGGATGAGGCGGTACTTGAAGTTGGGGAACTCTTTGTCACACTTTTCACAGCGAAACATGCCATTCTGTTGGTCTACCACTTTTTTGTTACAGTCTTGGCTGGGACAGGCCTGGTAAAGGCAGTTTTCCTTGCGCAGGTACACTATGGTAGCTATGCAGGTGTAGTAGTCTGCCTAAAAAAGGGAATATAAACAAACAAAAATTCATTTAAACAAAAGGTTTTGTGCCAAATTATGTTACTGAAAAGTATTTCTTAATAGACATCTCTCTCACAACCTTTATATTTTCTATGTTTAATACGGTGTCTGTTGAAAACCAGGAATAAAACAGCATGAAATTAACATTAAGATGACATTTTAAGGAGCCTAAACTAGCAACATTTTGGTAACAGATGCACAAGTTACACTCCCAACCAGAATCCTAATGGCTCTGACACAAATGCAAACTACTGAAGGTAGCTGCTGCTTTTGCGGGAAAGAGGCAAACTTCAGAAACTGAAAGCACAAACAGCCTTCAGGAAACATTCCTTGTCTGCATGGAAAACATTCAAGTAAGTGACATGAATTTAATTGAAATAGATGTATACGATAAGAAGCTCTGGATGAGCTGTAATGAAGAGATGAGATGTTTAATGTTTACATGTTTGCAGATAAGTCACATCACCTTTTCTTCATCTGGAAGGATCTCCTCATGCTGGGGAGGCTCTAATGCACATCGGCAATTGTTATCGCACCCTAACAGCTAATTGTTTTGCACATGTAAATGCAATTATGTTAACTGTTAAGAAACACTTAAGGCTACAATCATCTGTAATTAGAGATTCTCCAAAAGGACTGAAAAACAGAAATCGTGTACATTTCTTTTAATGCATCTGTAAAATATTTCAGTGGTCTGGCCATCATGACTGATGTTTTCTCTCTCAAAATCAGTAAACAAACAAGAGATCCCGTGCTGAGTGGTACACTGAGCTTAAAAAAGAAAACAGCTCTTAATAATGTTTTTAATAATTGTAAACAAATAAACATGAAAATAAATTATTTAAAAATATCTGCCGCAAATACAATGAAAATGAATTTTTTGCCTCTCTCTCTCTTCACCAGGCCCTGATCATTGTGTTAGTGTGCAAAAGGCATTTGACCCCAATTAACTTCCAAAACAGGATAAATTAAAAGCTCTTAAGAGTGTGGTAAATGACAGCAACAAAATGAGAAAAATCATGCTGTTCCAAGGAGATCAATCTCTGCTGCTTTTCCAAAAGAGGCCCCATTAATCAAGTAAATACTTCAATTAGCGTGCGGGTGAGCAACAGTGGGAAGAGAACAGAAGATCTTGTTTCTCACCTCTGTCATAGGCAAATGCAGTGTCAAGCCAACAACATGGTGAACACTTACTGTCAGAGGGGGCAACTGGAGCATTGTGGAAACTTGAGATTGTGACACAAAGACTGTGACAGGGACAATTAATCGCAACAGACTTTGGTTAGGGGGATCTTGAGAGGCCTGACCCCCATGCCCCTGTGTATGGGATGCCTCAAAGGGGTCGAGGACAGCCTCGGCTCAGCTCGTTTGTCAATACCGGGCCGCATCACACGCCATGCTGAGGAGGAGCAAGAGCCTCCGTAGCCCAGGGTCAAACCTTTCGTCCTGAACAGCAGGGACCTAATGCCAGAAGAAGCCCTTCACCTGACAGGGGGCTAATGATTACAGTCCAGATTTGGGGTATGGAATTTAAGAGAAAAGAAATAGATGGGGCTGCTTATGCTGCATTGTAGGCCTGCATATGATAGAATTGCTCAAGATGTTATTCTAAATAAGGAAAAAGACTATTTGTTTTACTATTTGTGAATGGGAATCCTGCAGTTCTGGCCATAGAAGAGAGAATTTTGAGGGCACCACAAGTAGGACAGGGTCACTCAGCGCCTGGGGAAGCAGACAAGCATGCAGTTTCGCCACTGGATAAAAATCCAACTCATTCAACAAAACATATTTTTCACTTAATTGACTCTTACAGATAACTGCTGCTATTTTCAAAGGAATTATGGGCCATTGAGCTTCCATAGATACCCTGCCTCCAGTGGCAACACTAGAATGTCTTTTACAGCCAGAGCAAAATCTCGGTGCGCTCTCTCTTGCATCTATTAATTTTCCAAGTCTTAATGGGATATTTTCATTGTACTGTGATGATTACTAATGTGCAGAGTATGTTATTTTGTGTTAAATTACACAAGTTAAGATCTCTATACAGGTCACATTATCCGCTCTAGACAATTTATACACTTCTGCGAGCACCATTTCCTTCAACAGTATGAATGAAAATAGGGGGAAATTAAAGAACACACATATTACTTTACTTAACTGAGGGCAGTAACTTCATTACAGATGGCAACGAAGAGAGCCTATGTAATCCTGGTAATCAATATCAGAGATAAATGTGACTTTCACTATGAACATACACCAAGGCTGAGAGGACTGCCACAATACAGGGGAATTAATGACCAGAAGGTCAGGTACCATAGTGGTATCCAATTTTAAGCACACATACCTAGTGGTGTATAATTTTATGAGTCAATGATTATAAGGATTCATCACACTAACTCTCAGCTAAAAGAGCTATGAGTGACAAGGTTACACTGTAGCAAAACTATACAGACCTGCAATGAGTGGCATGTACAAATGCAGCTTGACTGAGTGCTTTTATATTTGTTGTTTGGGATTCAACACTGGTCTTTCAGTTTGTCCTTGAATATCTTCAAAGAATCTCCTTGAATAACAATATGTCTGGGGTTACCATATCTTCAATTTCTGACTGCATCAAGGCAAAACTGAACACGAGTGTACCTTGTCTCCATGTCCCAGGTGCTCCGTCTTGACGTCAGACAGGGTCTTCCAGTTGGTGTTTCCTCCCCCACTGCCACCTTTCATCTCCGTCAGAGACTGTCCGTCCATTGTGTGACCCTCCTTGTCGTACCTACGTGAAAGAGAAGGAATACCACTGCTGATTTAACCTCAGTCCCAGATTCAAAGGGAATGTTGGTGTTTAAACCACTAGCACAGGAGTTTTGGACTGCCGGGAGGAGGAGGTTTTCAGGCCCGGGCTGAATTGTTCTTGTGAAGTTGGAAGTAATTTATTCCTGTGTTTTAAACAAGACTTGTGTGATGTTATACTGTGTTGAAATCGGTGAACAAAATGTTACAGAGGTATTATGCTATGCTATTATGCTAATTTTCAGGTTCAAAATCCTATTTAGGGGTTGTACCAGAACAGGTCAACATGGTTTAATTTTCAAAAAACACCATATTTTTTGTCATACTGCACATTGCTGCAGTTCCTCTTTTCACCCTGTGTTGAAGGCTTCGTTTTAGCTATGGAGTAAAAGGGAAAGGGCTGGACTACAAGCTGTTTTCAAGCAGTTCAGAGCAGAGTTTTCTGTGGGAGATGGAAACTCCCTTTGGGGTGGACTTTGGGCTTTTTCACTTTGCAAACCTATTACCTGCACAAAAAACGGTATATAACTCAAAGGACTAAAATAAAGGACACATTCAGAATCATTACTGCTAGTCGTTAACGGCGGATCACTTCATGCGTGTTTTTGTAAAATGGCCCTTTATTATGGGTTTGTATTTCTCTGTAATGTTACACTATTACTTATGACATTCTTTCTCAGCCCTGGAACTCAAACCATTTTCTGATCCCCCGCCAAAAAGTATATATTTAAATATTGTGCTTTCCTCTCCTCTCTCTTCTATCACTTTCTGCAGGTGTTTCTGGCTCTGGAGCTGTGGAGTCTGGATCTGTGGTTCTGAGTCACCTGCTGCCCCCGTGTTCCTGCACGACACCCTCTGCTACAATTATTATCTTTAACATTTTGATTATCATTAACACTACTATAAATATCTGTACCATTATTCATTCAGTCTGTACCTATATTACCTTTACTGCCCATACCCGTGTGTATATTGTGTAGGCTATCTCCCTCCCCTCTCTCCCTCCCTCCCTCTCTGTCTCTCTCACCCCCAACCAGTCGAGGCAGATGGCCGACCACCCTGAGCCATGGTTCTACTGGAGGTTTCTGCCTCTTAAAAGGAAGTTTTTCCTTGCCTCTGTCGCCTAGTGCTTGCTCTTGGTGGGAATTGTTGGGCTTCTGTAAATAACATCATAGAGTATGGTCTAGACCTGCTCTTTTATGAAAAGCACTCTGAGATAACTGTTGTTGTGATTTGGCGCTATATAAATAAAATTGAATTATTAAACTTCTATCATAAATGTGCGATGACCAACGACTACTAGTCCTTTAGAAAAATCTTTAGTGGTTAGGGCAGCCCTAGAAATAAATGTCGTCTTAATTTCTCAAGCTGGCATACCTATTGCTTGCTTTTGTCCACCCAAGATTTTAATATCTGAGGATCAAGATAATCATAATATTCACATTTAAAGGAGCTGAAACAACTATTTGAAAGTTTTGTTTTAAAAAAAAAAATATATATATATATATATATATATATATATATATATATATATATATATATATATATATATATATATATATATATATATATATATATATATATAAAAACTTAAAAATGCTAAATTGATGATCTAAATAGCTGTTAATTTTCAGTCAATTGACTAATCCATTCATCAAGCATTGGTTTCTGCTCTATATAGTTTAGTAAATTAAGTCTACAGCAAATCACCACATTTACCTACATAAAAATACATTTAGGAAAGCTGCATTTCCACTTGAAATATTCATAGAGTTGGTATGCCAAGGCCTACTTTTGGACTGCAGCTTTATTCATTTCAATGCATCTGAACCAAAGCAGGAGACACAATATGCTGCTGTTCACATGACTGTCAACAGACTGAAGGCTGAACATTAACAGTTGGCTTAAAAATAAAATCTTGTTTCAGGCAGAGCCTCCATTTGTGTTTGTCCAGGCAGGGATGGCTCAGCTCAGAACAAGGCAGGCTGAGAGGCTTGTGAAATGAATCTACAGCAGAGGGACAGATGAGCTGGCCAGGGTCAGGGCTGTTACTGTGATATCAAAAACCCATTTTCGCCCAATGTTCCCGGTAATTCAGAGAAGACAATAGGAAGAAGAAGAGGGAAGGCAATGTAGAAGGAGAAGAAAGATGGGTGGGAGGTAAAATGCAGTCATGGGTGGAAAAAAAATAACAGTTTAAAATGGTCACAGAGATCAATAAAGCTTACTAATCTGGCAGAGTGGCACACAATGTGGAGGTCAGGTTGTAAATACAGCGAGAGCATGCCTTGCTCCTGGAGGCATTACTAATTGAAAATATCCTCCATTAACGGTTCAGACTGTGGCCAGAGCAACACACAGGCTGCCAGTTCCCTACTCCTGACAAATGTGAACAATTCTTTATGGTGGCACCAGATTCCTCACTAATGTACCAGCACCACTTTGCTTACCCAGTAAAGAGCCTGCAAAATATATTCTGACAAATTTAAGTAGATAAAATGTAAATAAAATTTAGTGTCATGGCTCAACGTCTCTTCGAAGACACATGTTCTACAGAGGAGAAAAATGTAGTGACAACATAGCTGAGAAGATTAAAAATGCATCAAACCATAAAAAGGTAAGACTGCAGACTAGTAAGGCTTCACAGTGTTAACATGGCTGCTCTGGACATCTGACTTGACAGATACCCAAAAGGACTGTAAAATGCTCAACAAGATACCACCGTGACAGTACCCAGTTTTAAAGCTGCTCCTGCTGCTTTTATCATAGAGAAAGGGAGGAGCACAGGAAACAGACATGGGGTGGTAGACATTGGTCATGTTCAGAGACAAAAAGAGAACAAATTAGACAGGGCAGGAAATGTGAAACAGTCAACTGAAAGCAGGAAGACCCCAGCTTAGAGGAGCGTGGCTACAGTGAGACAGACTATAGATGACTGGAGGCTGGCAGACATGCATGTGCATAGACATGTCAAACGTCAGTGTGTCAGTGAACAAGGACAGGACAGGAGCAGAGACGTGTCAGGGGAAGAGGCAGAAGAGAATGATGGTAAAGTCTCAGTAAGCAGTGCTCTCAGCTCGGGGCTAAGGCTCTAATGCCTGGGCTGAGAGTGGCAAACGCAACACAAACATGATTACTCCATGTTGTGTGTGACATGGTGTTAGCCAGGCCATCTGTAGTGAGCGACATGTGGTCAAACATTGAGCTACCAGTGACTTAACAGAAGCCGCAGTGGTAGTTTATTTTGATGTAAACATGGGTGAACATGTTTTCCTTTGTTCTCATTTTGGCAGAATCAAAGCAAAGTGTTTATTTCTCCTAATAATCGACACACTGTAAAATAGGAGAGCAAAAATACAGCTATTTAACATTTACATGTCATTCCTACAGTTCTGCATGCATCAGTAGACTCTCACCAGTGTGTCACAATAGTTGAATGTTAATGAGTTTGTCTTATACAGAGGTCCTCAGAGTAAGTATATCATGGAAAAAAGAACTATTAAATACTTATTATGCACTGGGATAAAAATAGTGCAGTAAGGTAAACTCAACTCCCTGCTAATCTGTTATCTTGTGTTTCAAATAAACTTGATCTCTGCATATTAAATGTAGCATACATCAGAGCATTTCAAGTTAGAAAAACACTGAAGTTGCAATTCAACCTGAGCAGTATATGTGGTAAAATAAATTGTCTATAGAAAGTCAAAAACAAGGCTGCAACTAACAATTAGTTTCATTATTGATGAATCTGCCAATTATTTTCTTGATTAATCAATAATCGTTCTTTCCACAGAATATCAGAAAATAGTGAAAAATGTCCATTATAACTTCCTGATCCGAAACTAACTGCTTGTTTTGACCAAACAACTTGAAAAATGACTGAAACAATTAGTCAGTAATTAAAACAGTTGTTAAAGCAAGAATTACGGGTGTGGAAAATAATTCATTTCTAGATGCATCGCAATGCAGACTTTGATGATCCTGAATCGATTCCTTAGCAAGCGTCCTCTCCTCATTCTTCAAAGGACAGCTATGTGACAGGCAGCAGTAGGTGAAGGTGAAAGCAGCAGAAAATGAGCTAATACTAATAACAGCAACATCAGAAATCAAACTAGCAGGCTCTAAAGGCTCGAGCAGACTCCATGACTTTCAGCGTCGGCCGATGGCGGTGCTGTTCAGACTACAGAACTTGCCGTCTTGTGACGGTGAGTCTCTAAATCGTGGCGTTCACAGCACGTGACTGATCGGTGACAGAGGGTCTCACACACTACACAAGCTGACAGCGGCTCTGTCACCTTTTGTCAAGAACACATGTGAAATGGGAAATGGCACAAACCTACCAAACAGCTGTTGTTTGTTATTATAAAGATAGTAATTATATAGAGAAAGAATATGAGTGAAAGAATGGATTAGCACACGCAGGAGGAATAGTAGGAATAGTCTGAGCTACCGAGAGAGCTGGAGTGAAGTAAAAAGTGTTTTGTTGTGAAAAAGTAGCTGCCTGCTCTCATTGGCTGGATGTGGATGTCAAGTCGGCCGACACCTCCAGATATTTGGCATGCTAGATACCTGGCAGACGTCAGCAATGTGTCAGGAAGCTGTTGAGATGAGTCATTGAGTAGTTCACACAACAACTGGCGACCGCCAATCAACCACTGATTTACTCCCGATCACAGCCTGATGGTCGCTGAGGCAAATCGGGCTAAAAATCATGTAGTGTGAAAAAGGCTTAAGAAGTACTTTTGCTTGGCGGCAAGTTAAAAAGGTGCAGCTCCCCGACACCCAGTTAACAAATGACTGAGGTTACAACCATGGTTCGAATTACGGGGAGGATTGGGTGGGTCTGACCCCCCTAGTTAAGGCTTGGACTCAAAGGGGCAAAAACAACAGTTCAGGTACTGAACATCTGTACTGTAATTATTACCATATATTTCCCATAGTCATGCCTTATATTTAAGAATCTTGAAATACGATTAGAGAAACCCCTAAAATGGACCACACCATTTTCGAACATTGGTGTTAGCTGAACGTCTGTCTGCAAACATCACTCGCAGCGGCAGCTGCTCCTGTCCGGTGCATCACACGCTGGTGGAGACACTGTTAATGTCAGTAGTTAGCTATCTTTATAGCAAAGAAATTAGGGATTAGTTATTGTAGAGATACATTTGTTTTAACTGTGGAATTGCCCAAAAGAAATTCCCCAACAACTGCTTTATTGGACGCACATTACATCATTCACAGTCAACATGAGCAAGAGGAAAGGAGATATTTGCTAAAAAAAAAAAAAACGAACAACAAACGCACTTGTGTACATTTTCAGCTGAGGTCTGCGGCTTACTTTGGCTAGCCTTCAACTCAACAATCAAATCAATCAATCATGATTTCAGTTAAATGCTAAAGCTGCTGTTACTGTTACCTTGTCTGTGGTTCGCTGGCAGAACACGGGGTGCTTTCCGATCAGATGCCGTCATGCTGTTGCCGAGGCGACATTAGTTTCGTTTTACAGTGGACGGACGGTAACATTACAGAGTTGTTGTTTTCTTTAGCTTGAAATAATCCCATACTCTGGACACTTACTTCTTTGTCCCTTGTAATTTTCTCTCTTCCTCCACTTTGCAAACAGCGCCATTATAATCACGTCGTCTTCACAGCGTAAGCGCGATGTGCGACAGTATTAAATATCTGTGCGAAACAGTGTGCTGTATATGGATTAAACAAAGCGTTGTTGCATTTTAGTAATCGATTTAATCAATGAATCGTTTCAACCCCAATTTGCACAGCTGGAAGGATGAAAGTGTGAATGTGAAGAGTTTTACACTTTGGCAATACAAAGTTGGCAACCTGTGCAAGTAATCTCAAAAAGAGGGTGAGGGCACACAGCAAAGGGATGCTAACAATGCACTAAGACCCTAGACTAAACAAAGATCCAGATAATTAGTGCATTGGGCAGCTTTCTTACTTATAAGCACATTGGAAAGTGCTGAGCGGCACCACTACTACTCTGCAGGAGTTTGAGTCAACAGCCCACCAAGGATAGACTATTCATTTGAGGAAGTCCCAAAGGTCTGCGCCAAAACACAATCAAATTAAGACGCCTCCGCACGAGTAAAACCATGTTTCAGCAGCCTTGGCTTTATGCTAAAGGCATATCTTTGTTAGGCTGTGGGAGAAAAGGCATTGGGTTCTTCTGTGCAAGATAAAAAAATTATCAAAAGATTCATTCAGAGTTTAATTGATTTGCTTACTTGTTCTGTGTTCCTTAGTTCACACACACCGGCTTACAGAACAATCATTAAAGGACACACTTTGTGTATGGCTATCATCCTGAGACCCGGGCTTATCATCAGCACAACAAAACACATTATGTATTCAATAGCTCGCAGTCTTCCAATGAAAACACACACTAACAACTTGCTTATCACTAGATATCCCCTCTGTAACACAGCCTTAAAATAAAGATAAATAACTAAGGAGGCTATTCTCTCCATCCTCTTCACAGCATGAGGCTGGCTGGCCCAACACTCTCTTGCTGCATGACAATCCTGACTTCACGCTGGTTCTCACTTGGATTGATTTGGGCCCCGTGTACACCCGGAATTAATATGCGTCCTGGGTGAACCGATCAAAAGTGGACAGCTTTAGTACAGGTATGAATGCACCAGAGATCGCATTGAGATCCAATAGCTCAGACCACATTCAGAGGCATATGGCCACATTCTCTTCGTGTGTAAGCAAATGTGTCCTTGAACACAAGGTCACTTAAGAAGCATGTGAAGATGCTTTCTGCTGCCATGTTTGAGAGCTGCCCACTTGTGATCAGATCATCAAAGACCCATGCTAATGCCAGATATAAATAGGGCCCTGAATTGAAAATAATGAGTCAGGTCTGGCCTCCATCCAGCTGTGACTTTTAAACTATTCATTAGTGGAATGCGAACCTGCAGGAGCCCACTGTCTAAAGAGGACCCACATGGGCCAGCCCCTCTTCTGCAGTGGATAAACCAAACCAAAGATTTAAGCATCATTATCTCTGGGTGTCCAAGTGAGAAGTGACTGGAGGAAGTGTGGAACATCCTTCTGGCATTAAACAGGAGTACAGAGAGAAAAAAGTGAAGAGCCTATGCTACAGCAGGGATGTGGAAATGTGATTCAGGACTTGTTGGTGTTCACGTAAAAGAAAGCAGAAAACCCAGGAGTGGTCCTGATAATAGAGCGCTGTCTATCACTATGCAAATATGAAATTATCCCATCACAAAAACACTTAACGGCAGTTCACAGTAGCTAGCATTCTGAGAAATGAAATAAAAATACATATTCAGAGAAGCCAGAGGCTGGTACTAAAACCATCATCAAGAAACCATGAGCCAAGACATCTGATTAAAAGAGGCACATTTGAGCATATTTTGTGATTTTCCTCTTTCTCACCTGCAAAGTAGTCACATTTGACTGCTCTGATTATGCATATGAGATCCTCAATCATGTAAAAATACTCACAGCAACATTTGTCAAGGCAGCATAAGAGACTGCACTGGACAGCTCCGTGTTGCAAGCACCAATCTGGTTGTTTGGTTTTTTTTCTATAGACAGTACACACAAAAGGTATAACGATCAAGATTAACTTAAAAATTGCCCGGAGTTCTCCTTTAAGTAACAACCCCCACCTCAGCCCATGTGAGCACTGACTATCAATCATGTGCCAACCTGTACAACTTCATATAGCCATCTAACAATGTGTCCCTCCCCTTTAAGCATTGATTGTTTAAAGGGTTTGTTTAAAAAGAGATAGCAAATACATCAAAAGTGTATTTTTATCCTAACCTCTGGCAAAACATACATATTGTGCGTTCTTATTTTGAGTCATGTTGTACACCAAGTAGAGTTAATTTAGAAAACAAGGAATCAAGGTACTGGCACATGAGCCCAAAGAAAAGATGAAAGCTTGAGTCTTAAATATTTCTCTATTCCACTGCAAGAAAAGCAAACAGAAAATCTTCAAGGAATAGTCGCATGTCTTAATTATATTAGTGCACAATCCTACAACTCTGCATTTGGCTGTAGTACTTCTAACAGATTCAACTATAGTACAATATGCATGACTTCATGTACACAGATAATCACTCTTATTTTAAAGACAAAGATATTTTCGCTAATTTCCACATAATCCTATGTGTTCAAGTGAAGGCATACACCAAGAGAAAATAAATGCTGCAATCAACATAATCACACAGAAATTAGTCTGGATTTCATTTCATCTGGAAAGGCGATTAGAGGGGTAAAGAACACATTTCCACAGATTAAGTATGATTTCCATTTATATGTAATGCTTCATTGAAGCACCACCCACATTGTGGCTAATGGGGGAAAACTAATCTTGATAATGAGAATCAGAGCATGAACTCTAGCAACTTGGGAAATGGAAACTCGCCATTTAAAGTATTAGACGTCTACAATTTCAACAGCAATACTTGCATGTGAGAAGTTAGCTTCCAGCAGGAGAAATAAATAAGAAAAAGCCTTGCAGCATTTAAAGTACACCATGTTTCATACCTGCAATAAAAACACCCTGTCATGGGTATACAATTGCTAGAACATAAGCAATTTTCTGCACTGCATTATCTATGAAGCTCAAGCTCACTTACCAGCCTCTGAGCTTATATGCCTCAGGGATGTCTGGGTTGATCATCAGGGTGCTGCTGAAGGATGCAGAGAGGGACCGGCCTCCAAAGTCTGAAAGCTTTGCTGCCTTAATGGCTACAATGGGCTGCCCAGAGCCCTCAAACTTTTCTGCCTATACAAAACAGGAGATATGACAGAATCGTTAAAACTGGGTTGTTACTTGTATAGATTTCTTCTGTTTCTTGGTTTGTGTCAAGTTATATGTTGGTATTTTGTACAACAAGATTAAGAAGCTACATAATCTGGCAGTACAATGAGGCTGTACTTACGTACAGTGGAGCTTTGAGCTATATGGTAATATACACAGCATGCTAAAAAGCTCAAAACAACAAGGCTGACACGCGGACAATTAGCAGATATAATGAATAAATCATTATGTAAACCACTGAGCACAGTGCTACAGCAGAGGCTGATGGGAATGTACTTTAGTTTTGCAGGTTTTGGTGATAAATCAAAGAATTTGACCTGATGGTATACAAACAATTATTTATTGTTTATTACAATGTATCTAGTGCTGAACATGAATGTCAGTACCAAATCTAATGGCAATGCATTTAATAGTTTAAACATTTCAACGTGGGCGGGCAGTAAAGCTGCAGAGATGAGGAAATATCTCTAACACCTGCTTTTTGGCATAACCATTGTTCTTTATAAACTGTACATCTTGTGTACCTCAGCAAGTCCCTCTGGAAAAGAGGGTATGTGTCGAACAAACAAACAGGAAACCGTGTGCTTCTTGTCAGGAGGAAAGAAATGGTGGCGGACTCAGCACAGTCCCTCTGAGCCACAGGTAAAAATCAACTGCTAGAGCACAGTTGCTTCATCACCCCTTGACAGGGAATTCAGTCAGCGATTAAAACCACATTCTCCTCCATTAAACACTGCACACATTGTTAAAGGTATTTGATTTTCAAACTGCTGAACACTGATCAGCAAATGTGTTGTACAACTTTTCTAATTAAAACACATTTTTGACATACTCACCAAAAACTTAATGCTTCACAGAAGGTAGCCTTTACTGTAGGCTTTTTGTTCTGCAATAGCTCGTGTCATTGTGTTCACCCCCTGCATGTGTGATCTAGCTTTAGTTTAGCTTCAGTCAATTTATAGTAAATGGTCTAAACCATTCTCCATCAAATTAAAAACAGTTGCTCTCAGATGTTAACATTTAAAAAGTGTTCGTAGAAGGAAAGCGCAAACATTGCAATAGGCATGTCTATGCATTAAAAAGGTTGGTATTGATTTCCACCGCCCATTTAAAAAACTCCAGAGACAAAACCCCTACCCCATTACATAATTTACTCTCCATCTAACGTCTATACTCACTTCCTCTCCCCACAGCGTGACAGTCACCAACTTCCCTGACATGTCCATCAGACTAAGCGTCCTCTTGGACACCTCTTTGTTGGACTTGGTGGTGAGACGGGTCACTTCATCTACACTCTTACACACTCCAATCACATCTGTAATGGAAAACATGAATCAGTGTTACATGTTATCAGGCACAGATCCATTTTTCTATTTGTAACCTGATTGATTTGATTTGACTTGATTGACAGTCAAGCAGTGCCAATGAGATTTTACAACATACCACATTTGACATTTGGGAGAAGACCATGACAACATATGGTTTAATTTCTCAGACAAACAGATTGTTCCCACATACACATTTCAAACATATTGATTGCGGTGTTAACGCCCTCATGTCACTCTAGGTCCCACTGTTCCCTGTGCAAATTGGCTCTTGGGAAATAAGTGATTCATTCATTTGAAATCAGGTGTGACGTCACTGGCCTGTGTACCAGGCACTTACATCCATAATGTAGGAGAGAATCCATGAAATAAAGTTTGTCATTCCCACCACTGCACTTCATCAAGCATACTTTGCTGACTAATGCAATCATGCATGATAGATGCAGAGCCATTTATTTGTAAAGGTGCAAGAGTGACAGCACTAACAATACTCATCAGCTATAAAAGGATTTTAAATGTATTTAACCATGATGAACAAAATCTCACGTTTGATGCTGACTGGTACGCTGGAGAGAAATTACTTAAACAGCAGTACAAGGTGCGGTCTTCATTAAAAGAATTACAAGCAGACTCATTACTTCATTTTACCTGTGACAGCAGGTTCTCATTTTCTCATCGGCTCTGCCATAGGGCCCAAAGTCAATCTGCACTACAGGCTATTACTGTCATCAGTATTATTAATACCACTTTTATCTCTCTGCTCATGTACTGTAATTGCCTCAACCTCCTAGCATATCTGGCTCTACTTTATGCTACAAACTCTATCCCCTGCTTATGATAGCTTATTACTGGGTATTTGGGAACTCCTCAGTAGGAGCTGGGCTTGGAGCATCATTTGGTTGGTTTAGGTTTTTCACAATACACATTGCAAATTGTGATACATTTAGGCCACAGAGCCTCCATAAAAGGAAAACAATGTGCACTTAAACACCAGGAAATATAGAAGGCATAAGCATATAACTGTTGTTTTGTGCATGGTACATTAACTAATGGGCAATAATGTTATCGCTCTCCTATGCATTGTGTTACACAACTCTGCTCATTTGTTTAAAAAAGGCACAGAATACATGAGACAACATCAAAACTAATGTTTCAAAAAATGAGGTGTCAAAACATGAACACATTTCAAACAGAACCTAGAATAACGCCCTGTGGTTGAATGCCTCCGCCAACCAGTTAAGTTGCAGTTAACATCCACGTCTGGGGTGGCGATGGCGCAGGGATAAGACAAGTCTTTGTTGTGAGCAGGGTTCAATTCCCACTGCAACAACAATCAACCAATGTGTCCCTGAGCAAGACACTTAACCCCTAGTTGCTCTAGAGGCGTGCGACCACTGACATATATAGCAATTGTCAAAGTTCGCTTTGGATAAACATGTCAGCTAAATGACAAAAAATGTAAAATGTCTGTCCAGACGCTCTATAATGTATGTAGTGAATACTTGGAAGGTTAAAAAAAACTAAACATTTTGGCTAAATTGACAGGTTCTTGGTACGACTCTTGCTTAGGTTAGATTTTTAAATGTATGTTGAATAAATGACTTATTTAAATACATTACGTAGTCATCTTTTCAAATCTCCCATCACCTTTTAGCACTGTCTTATGTTGGGCCATATGCAATCTGTGTTACAGTTTTTTTTAAATGTTCAGTTCTGCGTTTCCGTCTGTGATTCCGTTATCACAGAAATTAAAGGGCCCTACCATAATGCTGCCATCAGTCTGTCGCTGGCCCATGCCAACCCACCGTCAGAGAGACACTTGGACACGGGCCCCATCAAAAGATACTTGTCAATGGGCCTAACAATATCTATAGAGGAAATCCTGTAATGGCACATGTCGGGTTGAGAAATGAATGTGTAAATCATTAATTGTGCTTCTTACCAACAATGGCATCTTTGTCTCTGTTCTCTAGGTCACCGATAGAGACAAAGTCACACTGCACCATGGGAATATCAGAGCTGTCATCACAGGGGATGACGGTGGACTCTCCATTGAGTGTCATCTCATAGTCATTCTTCACAGACGTGTACTGCTTGTTGGCGATCTTCAGGGAACCCTTGGAGACGTAATAGACCTGATGCATACATATGGATGACCCCGTGTTAATCAGAGATAGGGGGGAGTATTTCACCTGACTGAAGGGTGCAGACAACATACGACTTCAGACAGTCGGGGGGGGAATAAACAAAGGCTGGCAGATGATCATAAGCCTCTTATTGTATGGTACAGTGTAGCCAGATGACTCATTCACAGTCTCCGTGGTTTTAACTCACAAAGTACTGGCAGCAGTTGCAAGAACAGTCCGCGGCCAAATCAGTCTTCAACAGTGCAGTGAAAGACAGTTTTGGCAGATAATTAGGACATACTGGATCATTATCTGGAGGAACATCTTACCTTGCCAACTTCAATAAGGCCAAAGAACTTGTCCACCTCTTGGTTGAAACCAGTCACTCGTATCTCTCCCTGTAATAAAATGTAAACTTTGATTAAAGTAGGTCAGGCACAGTAAAAAGATTTCCAACTCATGACATCTAATAGTTTATTTACTTTAACATTAACAAGCCAACAGTGGGACCACAATAACACTCACACTCTCATCCACAATCTCCATGGAGAAGAGTTTGCCATCACCACGAGAGTTGCTCCATGTGCGGATGCTGCTCTTGTTGGTTACACGGGCACGGATGGTCCACCTAACGGACAGAGACACGTCTGAGGTGATTCATATCAGTGTTCATTTTTATAGCCAGAATGTAAGCCTACACACATTTTTAAGTAATTCATTTATTTACCAAATCAACCTTTAAAAATTAAAATCTGCCCCCTAGGATTGCATTCAACTATATAGGTGGATAGTGTGCCTACCTTCAACATGCAATACTTCACATGCTTTTGCTGGTGCTTAATAGGTTTTTGTTGCATTTATTTGCTTTTCATTTTGTTGTTTTTATTATAAATGTGTGCCATGATGTGATGTTACTGTCCCAAACAAGGAAAACATAAAATTTTTGACATGACATTTCCCACTGACTGGGAAAGACACTCACTTGGACTGATAGGGGTTGAGGCTGGCGATGGGCACAACTTTGGAGCTGCCGCCTGGTGTACTGGGCATCGCAGAAGGAGCCTTCTTCCCAAAGTCTTTATTGAAACCTCTGTGCACTGTCGGAGGAATGAAGACAGAAATAAATGATCCATGAAGAGCAGTGATGGAGAGAAGTCAAGAGAGGGACATACATTATTCATCGGAGACGTATTACAAAAAATCCAATTTCTTTGGATTGCAACTGCTTGATGACTGTAATTATCTCACTTCATGAGGGAAGTTTCATCAAAGAAAAACCCAACGACTTAAAGTACATTAACCACCGTTGACTCGAGCTGAGCAAGAGGAAAGACTCAAACAGGAAACAGAAATCTTGTCAAACCAAGTTGTTGGAGATGTGTGATCCAGCATTTTGGTGAGAAGGATGATTCACATTTCACAGAATCAGGGCAGAGTGTGAAATGCTTTAACAAACTGAAGCTGCTCTTCCCTAAGAGAGCGGTGCCGCCTGACTCTGAGATTTTCCATTTGAACAAGCGCTGCACATTTGATTTGTGTGCGACTCACGCGGAGGATTAAAGTTCAAAGTGTCCACTTAAGTCCTCCCACTTTGCCAACCACTGCACTTCTGGTAATTAAGCCCCCAGATCAAGCAGCGCACACAGAGAAATGAACAATGACTGTGCTGATGAGGAAGGTGCTCGCCACAACCTCAATTCCCACACGGCAGATTAGACGGATGAATACCTGCTATGACACAGTAGAAGACAGCAAAACCCTTCTGACAGCTGGATTGTACATTTCTCCTGGTCCAAGTTATTTGCGATACTGTGATCCACTGCTTATCTTTGACATAAACAACTGTCAGTGTTTCAAAAATAAATCTGTTCATGGGGGTTAATATACACTCTCCAGGTAGTCTTTTCTACTACGTGTTTGCTTGTCTATGTATTCTTCTGTGCATCCACAAAAAGATAAACAAAATGACTGACATGCACAGGCAGAGACAGCTGCCCATCAACACAGGATCATAGTTGTTAAAGTTTGTGATACCAAGCATTCACATGAAAAAGGGGGAGCTCTGTAGAATGACTGTCAAGAACACTGAAAAAACTCTGGAGAACGGCTTGAGAAAGCTAAAAATGAAATGTTTTCCAACGGGGCTGTCAAAATTACTTGTGTCCTGCAAATCTGTGGGTCACCCAAATTATAGAAAGCAGTAGAGAAATGCCACCACCTGGTGGTTAGTTCATGCTCAAGAGTAAAAAAAAAAAAACATGCACTCTTTCACACCTTCATTTCTGTTTTGTGGCTGTAGTGGAGGGCGGTTTTCAGGGATTGGCACTGACTGGGGTCCTTTCATCTGACCTGCAAGAAAGATATGACATTAGTATTAGCCTGCACTGACACTATGACCCATTATGTATGACTAATGTGTATATAAATATCAATCACAATACTTAACCATATTCACTGAGTCCAAATATAAGCAGCAAATATTAATATGAAGCCTTACCTTCAGTGTAAGGAGTAGGGTCACCTATTTTTCCAGCAACATCTTCAGCAGGCTTGATGACATCAATTTCCAAAATGATTACCACCCGTCTGTAATAAGACCTCACTATAAACTGCAGGAAATAGCCTTCAAGAGAATAACTATGCTCATAACTATACAGAGTGGGCAAAAATCTTGATATAAAACATCAGAAATGTTCAAAAAAGGTGCGTACCGTCCATCCTTCAGTATATTGGTCACATGCTTCTTCAGAATGCAGATGCAGTTCGGGGTCAGTGTCTTCTCCTCAGCCATGCAGTTCAGCTGGGTTGAGAGCATGAAAGCTACAAAAGGGTGTAGAAAAGTCAGAAAAGAAATTTAGACGGGGATAGCCCGGGTTAATTCAGCAAATGGGGCTCTTCAGAATAGCTGCCACAAGGCATTTAAATGCCGAACTCGACATCTTGAAGGATTGTTACTGTCTAAATACTGGCAACCACTTTAGTATTTGTTAAATAATCATAACATCAAATCTAAATATCAACCAAAACAATTGCAGTAACTTGTTTTTACATATCACACGGTCTGTTTTGGATCCAGATCTGCTCTTCCTATATTTAGGTAAAAGCTGTGTGAGAAATTATGTACTGTTGGGGGGGAGACTTACAGGACAGAGTGTGCTTTCCATCACTCATCATCAGCCGAAAACGAGCTGGACCACTTCCTCCATCAATCTTGCGAATGTTCTGAAAGGTGATTTGAAAGTGAAACTCTTCATATCAGTATTTAAAAATATTCCTCTTCCAAAATATTACGTTTGTCCGGTCCTATGACAGCATTTTTTTTAGTTTTAGTAAAAATTTAAACACATAATTCACCACCTATGTTAGTACAGCTACTTAATTTCTGTAAATAAAACTCTACACAAGCTCATCATTGAGCTACACAAGCTCAAGCGTTTCCTTGAGTATCCCATGCTGCCGAAAATGCGCTGGTAACAACTAAATATTGTAGTATTTTAAATTATAAGTTGTGTGTCCTGAGCTGAGGTTTCAGAAACGTTTCCACCCTTAAGAGTATTGTTACCCAGCATTGGTTTGCATCAGCTCAAATGTAACGTTACGAAATGACAAGGAGGATTTCAATGAACTGTTCCCATGTAACGTTACAGAAATAGTGGCTGAACTTTAAGGACATATAGTCTCAATCCAAGTTCTGCGTTATTACTTACCACCAACTGAAGCACTGCGTCAGTGCAACCTGAGCCATTTGATAGAGCCTAGAATCACAAAGTTATTTAAGTTAGCTTCAACCATTTGTTGTCAAGTTCGATATTTGACTATGTTTCATCTTCAAACATTTCAAAACACCCCCCCCTCCCCAAAGATAGCCGTTATTTAACGTTAAATTTCAACGTCGACTTGACCACAGAAAGCATTTTTTATGTTACGCACGTTAACAAGACTGCTCATGTTACCGTACATAAAGCCAAGTCTCTCAATTACAGAAAGTATCTAACGTTAAGCATGCAGAACAAACGACTGCTAGCTTCTCCGGCTGAACAAAGAATGCAATTCAAACTGTAACTTACCTAACGTTAATGTTAACGTTAACGTTTGGAAATCACCTTCTAGCGTATAATTTATACTGAAAAGATTAACCTTACCTCTATGGCACCCTCTGAGAGCTTCGTCATGTCTGCTAGGAGGTGATTTTAACGACAAAAAAACAACTATACTAATGTATTAGCTGGACAGCCAACTCTCTGGTTCAGCCGCTGATAGTACTCAGTGAATTGTGTCGGTGGCGCCAACAGCTTGGACAAGCGCGCGAAACTTCGTATGTGCTGCTCCAGTTTCCGTTTCCGTTCACAGATCTGACGTCGGTTTGCAGTCTGTCAGTACGGTGAAACTGTTGGCCGAATGCACTCAGTAAAACTGATCGAAGACCAGCTGCATGAAAGTCAGCGCCAACATAACGTGACGTCAGGCGCTTACTAAGATGCGTTCAAAGCCAGGAGAAAATGGGAGGTTTCAGTCTCCACTGTAATTAACAAATGTAAACAAAGCCTTGAATGTCCATATTTTTTATTTTGACTTACTTTTACAGTTTTCCTCATGCTAATATAGGCTACAACCAATGGCCATTCACACACTTAGTAGGCGATCTTTGAGAAAGCTATGCAAGAAGAAAGAATTTCCCTTTATTATTTTACCTCGCAAACACATGTACTGAGGAATTAATATTTTAGATGTAGTAGACAATGTGTTGCTATAAATTAATAATAAAGTTAATAATGACTGTAACTAAAACATTTTTTGTAAAATATGTGATAAGACTGCAACACCCAATTGTTTTTTATTGCAGTCAATAATTGCCACCACTTTATTATCAATCACTTGTTTTGTCAAAGAGAGGAGCACCACCAAATATTAGTTAGTTACTTCCCACAGCACCTGAAAAGGTAACTCTATTAAGTTAGTTACAATCACAGACTGCTGGCATTTTAATAAAATTGGCCATGTTAAATTGCCATCAGCAATCTACAAATGTCTGTTGTGTCTTTTCTCAGTTTATTCTGTGCATGAATTTACCTTCAGATTACAGTAACAGACAATAAAACCCAGAACCATGTTCTACTTCAAATCAATTCAGTTTATTTTCCTATTGGATAACATTGTTAAAATTTCAACTACATACAAAATGATGCAGTAATGCTGTGACAATGGCCCTACATTTTGACATGTCGGAAATTTAGTGTAATCAATTAACTCGAAAATGAAGAGAACTTTAACTATGGGTATAAACCATTTCTTGAATCTAATTGTAATATTAAGAGTTACTTGACCAGGATCTAATGCAGCAAAACTGTAAATATATTTTTTACAATGGATACTAGGCTCCTCAGTATGTTTATTCTACAATGAAACAAAGGAGCAAATGAAACATTTGTTTTCACGCACATTTTGATCCAGCTAAGTGATAATGTACATTTAATCTGTACAATCATAGAGGTCTTGGTCTGGGTTTTCCCTGGGACAGCTGTGCGGGAAGTAGTCCCTATTTAGGTGGGCCTCCAAATGAGCCAACATTATTCTTATCAATTGGGAATCCCACTTTATCTTTGTTTCCGGGTTCTCCTCTCTGCAAGATAGGAGCTCCAGGATTTGGGTTGTTGATGACACCCAAGAAGATCGGCACTTGAGTCATATCGTCCATAAGGGCAAAGAAGAACGGTTGGCTAAGGTGGAAAACAGGGTTGGACGCCCGTGAGATGACCACAGTGGTGGCTGCAGCAGCCTCTGCACCCTCCTCATTTATCTCCATGCTGGACTTGTGCATCACACTGGACACCAGCAGGGGGCCGTCTGCCATCTCAGCTAAGTTGGGACTGGAGAACATCTCTCCAAGGCCTTACACAGAGCAGAGAGGGAAGAGGCAATTCAAGGGACAGTATGTGTTTTCACCTTTAGTCTGTAGCATGTTCAAAACTTTCATCAAATAATAAGAATTTATGAATTTGTGTGTGGTGAAAATAACATAACAAAGACCAGGGGAAATAATGCCTTCTTACCCAATTTGATAAAAACATCCTGTAGCTCTTGAGCATACTCCAGTTTGAATTTGGGGACTTTAACTTGAACCGCCCTCTCCTTGGGCAGACGATTATACAGGTCTGAGACATTCAGCTTTGCATAAAGTGAAGACACATTCACCTGGCCGGACAGAGGCATCACCACCAACAAGCTCATGGACGCCTGGAATGGGAAGCTCGCTACCTGCACAAGTAGAAAGAACAGTGTGTTTTTTAAAATGGCAGCTATGTTTGTAATTATATGATAAGATGTATGAGTGTATTTTGGGGACAGTGATTAAACTGTAAAACTGTATTTTACCTGAGCCTCCAGTTCATTATCAATAAATAAACTCAAGGGGTGTTTGGCATCTTCCATCACTTCAACATCAACCATGTGCTTGTCGTCAAGGTAGAACACACCTCTAGAGGTAAAGCGCGCGTCAAATCGAGCTTTCCATTCTCCTGTGGGTAGTGTGGAAAAGGGGTCTCCATTTTAGTCAGAACAATTCAAACGTACAGTAACATGTGAAAATGGAAAACTTGCAAATACAGGAAACTTCATTTCAACTGGGATCTTTGGGAAATGAGTATTCTCAGCAAACATGGCATCTTAGAGTAGCAGCTAATTTTATGAACATGGTGGCGTATCACCTTTGAAATGGACAGCATTAATGAGCATGAGGAGCAGATTGGGTGGTAAAGCAGACAAGAATTCTGTCATCTTTCCATTTGTTGCTTTCTCTACCCAGTCGTTTATCTGCTGCAGGCTCTCCAAGACTGCTGGCTCTGAGTCATATAACCGTTGGGATTCATGGATGAAGTCTTGCTTTGGTTCAAACCCTAAAACACAGAAATATACACTCTTTAAGGCTCTACTGATTCATTCATTCATTAATCTCTTCTATGTAAGTCAGCATTAGTAACAAGATAAATTATAACTAAATGAATGTTTCCGTAAACAAGAGGTGTGTAGTCTCAACTAGTAGTATAGATTAAAATGATTGGGACAAAAGTCGTGTTCTTAAGTATGTATTTAACCTTGGCGCAGGAAGATCCGTGTGGCAATTTGCAGGTCACTTCTGAGCTGCACAAAGACATTATGCAGAGACTCATGGTAGCAGGGGACAGTGTGCTCGTGCAGATGATGCATCAGCAGCTCCTTTGTCTCGTTTACTGCACCTGGAAACAAGAGGGGTGCAATTGATTATAAACAGTGTTTGTCTCCAGATGACTATAAACTACCTGACACAATTCATCAGTGAGTGGTAATTACATCTTATGTGTAGAAAACAAGCTGTTTGTGTCATTTAAAACCTGCAGCAGACATACCTAAAGCCAGTTGGGAGAGCGCTAATGCTATGCTGAAGGGAGATATGATGACATTTGGCTGCTCTGGCGTTGTCTCCAGGTTCTGTAGCAGCTGCATACCCAGTTTCTGAATGGCAGCAGCAATGGCCTCCCTGGACCGTGGGCTTCGGCCGATAGAAAGACAGCCTGCATCTTGCTCCTCCTCTGATGAGCCCCCGTTGGGCCTACTAGTTATGGTTGTTGCAATTACAGGCGCTTCTGTGGTATCTGCAGTTTCTGGTTGTGCTGTACTTATGTTTTCTAGTATCTAATGACAGGAATAGGAGAAAACGTTAAATTCAAGGAGACATTTTTCACTTTGGATGACCAGAACACCACCATGACACAACAAGCACAGTGACAGAAAAAGCTACCAAATTCTAACCTCTTTGGGGTGGCTGGGCATTAAAGGAATGAGAGGCACCAAAGGAATTGACTCATCTTCTGCCACCTCACCATTCTGTTGAGTGGAAAGATAGTATAAAACAACAATCTATACAAGCGTTTCATAATCAGCACAGATTATAATCATCTAGCATAATTTTAAAAGTGATTTATTTATAAATCAGTGATTTACAGTGACTCCTTGGTTGCAGAGACAGATCAACAGGAGTGTCAGACGAAGGTCCATGTCCTTACAACGCAACTGTAAAAGAGAGAAATTATGTTGGCTGAAAATAATGTGTGGCCTGGTCACTTTTATGAGGCAATAAATATACATCTCGTGTTCAAACCTCTTACAACACAGCACTCACCTTTTGTATTTAGTTTATTTGCTGTATTGTCAGCAGGTCTCAAACGCGTTCGCTTTACTTAATCACTCTCTCTTTTAAAGGAACCCAGATCATCTGGAAATATGCCTAAAACATGGGAGTCGCGCAAAAGATGTAAACGGGCACCAAAATGTGTGCTAACCACATCTGAGTATTGCAGATTTATTTTTCAAGAACATGGGTATTGGCTTTGCATTTTAAAGGACAGAAAATCCACTTTTCAATTTTGATTATCAATGCATCGTGGTGTCGAATCTGTAATCAATCCAACATAATATGGACAAAAAAAAAATAAGTCAAAAGTAGGGCACTGTACTGGTACCATAGCCCCTTTTGCAGACCTTACACAAACATGAAAACTCCATGAACTGAGTAATATTTAGCATTTTCTACCAAGTCTGCAAATAACTGCAATGTACAGAAGTGTCACAATACATTTATCAAAATATATTTAATCTTACCTTAAATTTAAATTAGAAAAAAAAAATGCTGCCTTGTCCAAAAAAGGAGCGACACAGTGACTGTGGATGACAGAATTCCTGAGAGTGAAAGATTGGCAGTTGCTCAGCAAACAGTTAAATATCAACTTACATTGATCGGGGCCTCGTTTAAGCCACTATTTGTTTGTAAATGTAGCTACTGAGACTCATCAGGGTGAAATATTGAAGACCGACACTTAGCTATTTTGCATGTCAATGGGCAGGTGATAATATCTGCTCAGTTTTATGTCTTCCCCCTTGTGCTTGTAGGTTTCCCTATTAGGTCATCTTTAGCTGGCCTTAACCTAGAACAACTAATCTATCTGATGTTTTGATTCCAGTGCTTCGTCATATTGGAATCTATTTTATCCATGAGTTGTACTCTAATCTGTGGAGACAGTGAGTTCTTGTAAAGAACTTGTAACTTGTAAAGAGCATTCTTATAAGAATCAACCTTGTAAGATTCTCAGAGAACACCAATATCTACTTGCCAGACGCCTGAGCTACTGTCATCCCCCTAACAAGGACAGTTACATGTGAGAAATAACTAGAGCTGGAAGGTCAGTGAACACTTGTGGGTTCAGCTAATGACTCGAAGCTAGACCCGTCGTACCTTTCCGTTACATCAATTAAGACACACCTAAGAATATTTTTTAACAATATCATGATACAAATAAATCTTTGACAGAACACAAGACATCTTAATTGCTAAAGTGTGGTTAATCGGTGTGGAGAAAAAAAAAATACAACTTTCTGACACCAGAGTTACACATCTGATGTAAGAAAACAGAAGTCCACGCTTCCCAGAAACCCCTGGCTTTGAAATATTACCAACTTCACAGAACAAACTGCCACACTTTACTGCTCAGTCTAGGAACTGTGGTGATAGGAAAGAAAAATAAACTTATTAAGCCGATTTGGTCACAATTTCGCCACTAAGCAAAAGTGATTATCTTCTAGATCACATGACAGCAGTCTGTAAACACAAGAGAGGACTTTGTCCAATCTGAGCTCTAGTGACTCGGCCAAGATTGCATGGCAAGGCTGGAAGTCACAATGAATCCTGCTGAACCACACAGAACTAGAAACACACAAAAACATGGAAGCAATTGCTTTTATTAATCCAGTTAATAAATAAGCGTTTTTGTTGACTTCTCTTAAAATGTTCAAAGATATACTGGAACAATCGTAACCAATTATACGCAACTACAAATGTTCTCTTTAAAACAAAGTTTGTTGTTTTATGATTATTGAGCTTTCACTCCAGATATACAAAAACACAAAATATCAAAAGGTATAGTACACTTGTTAGAGCATTTTGAGCTTTGGGCAAATAAGAAAGAAAGGTAGGCTGTGTTTTACAACATGACAGGGACAAAATCACACAAAGATGAGAGCTTTGATTGTTAGATGCTAATGGCCTTTCAAAACTTTTATAGATTCATTAAGAGTTTTGTGGAAACTGGGCAAAGAAAAGTCTATTTCCATTTGCATTACACAAAGAAGCAAGTTAAACCACATTTTTTAATGGATTTATAACTATTGTTGGTATCTTCACAACATACGCGGTTACATATAAAATGTTAAAATACAAAACTGTTTATCTTGGCATTGACTATTCCTATGGTAGCCTTTTTAAGTCAGAAATTAGAAAGTGGTGAGTCTAACAACTGGCATACCCAGTCAAAGTGGCATCTGCCTAGATATACTTCCAGTATAATGTTGCTACAGGTACTGACTGCTAAATCAAGAATCTCTAAACACACAGTTTAAAAATCCCAAAACAATTTCAAGTAATTTATTAGTGGATAAAAACATTCAACTTTAAAATCTGAGTGAGTATCTAAATGTTACAATTCAGGCCATATTTGTGCATTAGAATGAAGGCTGTGCATCAGTAAATGACAACAACTGAAGCGTCTCCACTCTGAGAAGATGCACGAAGACTGTCGACCAAACAGTGAGTGTACTTTTATTGTTCATGATGAAAAAACAATCTGCTGTGAAACATCTCTCATGAAACACGGGGGGTTGGGGGGACGATACTAACAAACTAATGATCTACAAATACTGCATAGTTTCATCAGTGCATTTGGATACGCATGTAACATCAAGGGAAAGGAAAGTTGTGATCAATGTATTTTTGGTGTTGTTATGCATCTATTTGGAAAGTGTAAACACTACGTAAGAACCATGTTTGGTTCCACCTTCCTGAGGACATCTTCTGATTCATTCTTTTGAACAGAATAACTGACCTAGTCAAAAGAATATATTACCTTGTCAAGATAAGAATTTCCCCATTATATACTATCTATAGGCTTTTTAAAAAATCGTGGGATTTACTATACATGATAAATGTTAAATTTAGTGCTAACAGCCAGAGTGGCAAGATTCGGTAGACATGAAGCTTATACAATTCCTTCACTTGTGCTGCTTCATCCAAAAAGCAATTTAGAGAATCTAACCAACTGCCCTACGAGTACAACTGACCTCAAGCACAGGAGAAGGGACAGAGAGCTCAGACACCTGATGTCTTCACAATTAAGACACTTTCAAGGTCAGTGGTAAGAGTGTAGCTGGGAGCCATAGATTTTCTCTAAGCTAGTAACCGGATGGCCCCGTTCTCAGAGCCCAGCAGCAGGAGCCTCTTGGTGGGCAGGACTGCCAGGCTTGTCAGAGTGCCACGGAAGTTCTCTGAGCTCAGCTTTGTGCTGCTAGCAGGGCTCAGGGAGATATCTGCCATGGAGTACACCCCGATCTTGTTTGCGACTGTGCCAGTTACGATCTCTGAACCGTAAAGGTCAAAGGCATGGATGGGGTCGGACTGCGACTTGTACAGGCGGAGAGGCTTGTGTTCCAGATCTTTCCACACACTGAGTGTGTAATCAGTGGAGGAGCTGATGACCAAGTTTCCTTCTGCAGCCTGAAAAGTAAACCACAAGAAAGGAAGTCACTGACTGTTATATCCCAGTAAAAACTACCGGTGCAACATCCTTTTGCAAGATTTGTGATTAAATGCCAAGCAACGCAATTCCTTGCATTCCGTGCAATTAAAACAAAGTTTCAAATACAGATACTTGGAGGAAAATGTTAATGGTTATTTCATATATTAGAATTCTTAAAAAAAAAAAAAGAAGAAGAAGAAACACGTGGAACACATAATCAGACAGAAATCAGGCTTGGACATTTCCCACTCAAAAGCACATAGTGTAGCTTGAGATTTAATGAAAACTATTAAAATCATTTGACTGAAAGTTAGAACCTTCAGCTGTATTAAGTTCAATTAGTTTGATATTGATATTGAGTAATATTAATGTGCCAACGAGAACAAGTGTGGTCTTTCTAATGAGTAACCTGTGTCCATATTTGCCTAAACTTGTGCCTTTAAAACTAGAAATACAATCCTTGACCTAATTGGGGTTAAATAAAGTTTGCTCATCCTTGCGCTCTGTTGACAACAGATTTGCTGGGTACAACTTTCACCATATCTGTACCTCTTAGTTATCTCTCCACCACTACCTTTGGGGAATGTCAAAATAAAAGCCACTTGGCCGATCGTCTTCTTGAATATTTATCACATGACTACTGAAAAGTACAGCCACACCCTCTGGCTTGAGTATGTGATGTGGGCCAGGAATACAGTAACAGGCTCAACAATTTCCTGGCAATTTTCCATTTGGGACAGTACTGATGTCATACAATAGCTCAAGTTATTACATATATTGTATTAAATTAAGACTAAATGAACATATTTTTCCTCATACTGCACATTGCTGCAGCTCCTCTGTTCACCCTATGTGTTGTACACTCCACTCTTGAGCTACAGAGTGATGCATCTTATTTGTACAAAATCTTTGTTGGGAGTTGCACATGCTCAGTTCCCAGGTAATCAAAGCCGCTTCAGACTGCGACCATAACCTAGCAGATGGTATAAGTTACTCAAGTCCACAACCACACAACATTGTTCCACATCTTATCATTAACACTAAACGTTGAGCTTTTTCCGGTGTTCTGATGATCTATGCTGCCTTGCCGAAAAATGCTACCATAGCGCAAATCGATAGACTCGACTCTACTCGGCCCTGCTCCATTTTCCATTGCAGATAGTACCCAGAGATGGTACGTAGCTTGTCGTCATAGCGACGCCACACACAACTGCCGTGACGTAATGTTCAATGTGACACACACACCAGCTCTTAAAATATATCTACGGTTAAAACGTTTCAGTATTACTCAGAATGTAAAGACAGATAAGCGGGATGAAAACCTTCCAGCTGTGTTTTCGGCAGGAGCAGAGGGCTCTGTGAGCGCGCGGCTGGCCGGCCTCACACGCTCCTCCCGCAGCCACTTGCGGAGCTCCTCAACTCAGCATTTTTGTTCTGCCATCACTTCTCGTAAAACTGTCAATATTCAAAATCTACACAGCTGATTTCTCACCTCAAAACTTCTCAGAAGTGGATTTAGTGATGAAATTCCATACAAAAACTGTAAAATATAAAACTTTCTGTTGCTGGCCTCTGTCTGGCACACGCAATGATGATGCAGTGAATAGTGAATATTCTCTCTGACTGCAGTCTGTCATGTTTTCACGTTACATTTTAGTATCCCTCAGCTCGCTTGGAACCTCGACAGAAGTGAGGTGATACGAAAAAAAGTACCTGGAAGCAGGTACAGGTACAACATTTCTACAATTGAAACCCAAACAAAGGCGAGTCGAGCCAAAGGGCCTCCACTCTCGAGTAGCTTGGTTTGAGGGCGTGTCTGACCCCGCTAGCCGCTTGGCAAGCTTAATGACGCGTTTTCATTGTGATGTCACAAGTAAAGGAAGTGAAGGGCTGGACTACAAATGAGCTGTTCTCAAGCGGTTCAGAGCAGAGCTTTCTGTGGGAGATGGGAACTCCCTCTGGGCTGGACTTTCGGCTTTTTCACTTTGCAATCCTGTTACATGCACAAAAAAGATATATAACTCAATAAAGGAGAGGGAAAAGCCAAAAAGCATAATACCACCTCTTTAAATTATCAAATAACCCACCAAGAGGTCTAGGTCAGACATATATATGCAATTGGTCCATATGAAGAGAGAGAGAAAAGAAAGAGTCAACACAAGTGACAACTGACTGGCTGATTTGCACTGTGTGGGCTGTGATTTCTACAGTTCCAAAAAGTTTCCACTGTTTACCAGAAAGCCTGATGGGATTTTATACCCAACAGATTCTGCT